CCCACACACGAGCCCCGACCATCCCTCATGCGCCTATAATTCGAGTACCACACCCTACAATGGGGGGGGAATCAAACCACATACCAGAGGGGACTTACAACTAACAAGCAGATGCCCGACCAACTGGTCAGAGTACGCGGCGCTTATATATCTATATATTTTTATAGATATATAGAGAGAGAGAGAGAGAGAGAGAGAGAGAGAGAGAGATTTGTGTGTAGCCATTCCTCATGCTTCCTTGTCACTCGTTTACTTCATGTTTGTGCCATTGTCTTAAACCTCGTGATGATGACGTGTGTGTGTGTGTTTTGTTTTTTTCCCTAAAAAGATGACGACTTGTGTGTTGGAAACTAGAATAATATGGATGTTCTTTCTAGGTAATTTTGACCATTCGGATGTGATGACGCTTGAACAGATCTCATTTGAGTAATTTAGGCTCAAATTATGCATGTCACGCTTACGCTCCACTACTTTTCATCATACTTGATCATTTCAATCATGGAAAGTCTTTATGTTGATCGAAAGAGTTTGGACTTGGTCCGGGTGCATCAATCATATTGTTCCCTCTTTTTTTTTTTTTTTTTTTTTTTTTTTTTTTTTTTTTTTTTTTTTAATTTCAACAACTTACTCATACCAATATGATTGAGGTAGTAATGCGATGTTGTGTTCAATGACCTTCTTTAACTTGATTTTATTTGTGCCTCAACCTGCATCACATAGTGATACAATTATATGGATACACAATTGTTTCTTAATAAATTTGATCCGTATCTGAAGTAGCTATATTTGTTATAAACTAATTGATCCTGTGGATTTTCAATTAATGTTTTTAATGTCACACCAAGAGGTTCAATTTCGCTCTTCTCTAAGAATATGCATGCATGTTGACATAGTGAAATTGAAATAGAAACTGTAGGCTTGTATCATTGTAAATGACCCTGGTTGAAGCTGCAGCTTGATTAGATAGCCTTGAAAGTTTGTTCTTTATTTTTATTTTTATTTATCTTTTTATTGTCGAGCTTTGAACACAGAATTTCTCCGTGTATTTAATATTTACGAAAAAAATATTACATCAATACTACACACGTAGAGTAACGTGCGTAGTCAATAAAATAATGTCACGACACCCCACTCGACAGAAAAAAAAACGACACGGTAAAACGAGAATATTCCCTCATGTGTTATTCATGTGTTATTGTGTGTTATTTATGTGTTACTGATGTCTTATTGTGTTATTATAACACCAAGAATATTCTCAGAACACAATAACACATGAATAATTAGGGCTGTCAATTTGGCTCGTTCGCGAACAGGTCGTGTTCGCTCGTGTTCGGCTCGTTCGTTAAGCCTAACGAGCCGAACACGAACAAATTGTCAAGCTCGAAATGTAAACGAGCTGAACACGAACAAAAGTTTGTTCGCTCGTGCTCGGCTCGAATTAGCTCGAAAACAAAGATATATTAATATACATAATATATATTCATAAAATTAAATATTATAAAATATAATTAATTAAATTTAAAAAAAAAATAAATTATCATATTTTAAAAAATTTTTCCTATAAATTATAATATATAAAAAAATATTAAGAATATTATATTACTAATTTACTATAACTTATATAAATATTATATATGTATTGTCGTATAGGATATTAGTTAAAAACATAAAACCCTAACAATCCGCTCCCATTCCCGTCTCGAAAGTTTTGGGGTGCGGCTGTCTTTCGCTCC